TACGACTTTGATGGCGGCTACAGCTTTGATCATGTGTGGGAAATGGATATTGATTCGAACTGGAAAGGCGTTATGGAGAACTACAACGGTATGGGTAGTGACGAAGCTCATGAAAAGATACGGAATACTAACGATGGATTTAGAGTGCTATCACTGTCCAACAAGTCATCCTCTGATTGCTGGAGTTTCAGACCTCACCAAATACAAAGTCGAGCCGAGCGGAAGCTGTTTGGAGCACACAATCATCAACAAGAAGGAAGACGACGGCACCGATGAGTTTAAGCGCTCTATCACCTTCTTCTTCCCGTCAACATCAGTAACAGTCACGTATGTTCCACGAGTGGCACTGTAAGAGCAACGCTAATGCGAGAAATAGCATGAACTTCTTCTACATCCAACGCATGATCCCCATCAGTGAGACCAAGACAAAGATCGAGAACGAAATTTATCGTCATCACGCAGCAAATGATGAGGAGTTCGCCTCTATCATGGCATTCTACAAGCAAGTTCTTACCGAAGACAAGGATCTGTGCAACGGAACACAGAAGAACCTGAACGCTGGTGTCTTTCTCAACGGCGAGTTGCATCCTGAAAAGGAAAAGGTAGATGTCAACATCTGGAGTTCCCAAAGCATTTTCTGACTTGACTGCAGGGTCCGATTTACTTCCAAAACACGGTCAGGGAAGAGGTCATGGAACACAGGAGAAGGGAGCTGGCACAAGACGGGCAGCAAATATGGCCTGCGATGCCCAAGGTCGTTGGAGACATGATGACAAGCAAGCTTCAGGAAGAAGAGATGTTGTGTTCAGAACTTGAAAGAGAAAGCTGTGCAGCGAGGTCAGAACTAGCATGGTGATGGAGAGAAAAGGCTACTAGCGAATGGTAAAATGTACGTTAGATTGTATGGGAAAACGCACTAGATTTGAGACAAACTCGATGTTTCCAAGGCTTTCCATACAGCGTGTTCTCGGAGACCGACAGGTGCAATGAAACCACAGAAGTGCTGAGAAGAAACCAACAGCAAAGGAGAAAAGGGACGTGTCTCAAAAGGGACGTGTTCTTCTCATTAGTCTAGCTGTATGAAGGAGTACTGAGATCCTGAGTCCTTAGGAATATTCCCCAGATCCTTTCACTCATTGACCATTGCCTTTCACGTTAGGCAGACTCGTGCTTCTTTGTTCACGACACAAACACCATAAGTAACATGCATCAGTTCTCGTCAGATTCATCTACCTATCGTCATAAAGCGTTCCTCATCAAAAGCCGTCCCCGAGCGGATCATCATATTGATTGATCAACCGTTGAGGTACCAACCCACGTAACACCTTGACACCTGTCTGCACGATCTCCCATCTCACCTTCGTCAATATCTCAGCCATAGACCATACCAGCCCATTGGTCTGCCTTCTTTGACTGATCCCTGATGTATTGTCTCGTTGACCCATCTCTGCCATGCTGGTCACGAGTGCTTCCATTTCACCCCGAGGATCCCATACCATCTCGTCGCTCTCGTCGCTGCTCTCATCGGCCATCTCATCACCAGGCACAATGCTCCGTCCTCGAAGAGGGCCAGCATGATGGAAGGCCCAGCATGTTAAAGTGGCGAGATATAAACACCAAGGGACGTGGAAGAGACTCATGGCGTCCGAACCAGTGAGTATCTTGGTGCCGTCGCGCAACATGCGTCCAGCGTGCCATGCGGCAGTGTTGGCCGAATTCCTGCCCCAGGTCGTCGGTTGTTCGAGGTTTTGCTTTACTAACGCATCTTTTGCAGCTTGCGTCTGCCCTGAATCCTGGGATGTTTCTCGCTTCGCCGCAGATGCCCACTGCTTGACGTTCCTGGCTGATCGGCGATAGTCCTTCTGTTGAACTGGTCGTCCAAGGATGTTTCGAGCTCCTGCGTAGATCTGCACATCAAGAAACTCCATGTTCAGCAGTGCTTGTGCCGAGTGGTAGAGGGTGTTGTAAGCAGTTGCAAATGCTATGTGCTCACTGCGTTGTGACTCGTCCTCAGAAGAGCGTGGCAAACGACCGATGACAGCCAAGGTGTAGGCATCAAAGTCGGATTTCCAAGTCTCGTAAGCACCTCCAATGAGCTTTCGCCAATGTCCTCCTGGGTTGTCTCCTGATACGACGCCAAGGGCTGTTTGGTCACGCCGTTGCATGTCCCAGGCGATGGACATGAGTCCGTGGAAGAGGAGCACGCGGGATAGGCCACTCAACCCCTGCTGCCGTGGCACACTGGGGGTCATGTATGACTTCAAGGCTGGTAGGAAAAATTGCCCTTGGTTTGACTGAGAGGATCGCCAAGCGGCAGCCCAGGCCATGGCATCTCCAGCCTCCCACATTCGTTGACTGCAAGGTAGCTCAACCCGAAGTTCGAATGCAGACATGCAGAGACTCTGGCAGAATAACACAGCGTGTTGGGTATCCCACATGAAGCAAAGCAAGGCAAGACTGATAAAAGAGTCAGCTAAAATAGTTGGTCAGGTGGAGTAACAATGCTTACCGTTTCTTTTGTTCAGCAATCGACCATCGCCTCCAGGCATCTCGCAGTGTTTGATCATGATCAACAACATCGGAGGGTGGGCCGGTTGGCCGTACAAATTGGCAGTCAGATCGTCGAATGAGGTTTATGAGAAGCCCATGGAACAAGTGACTCATATCATGTTGTTTCTGACCCGCTCGTGACTTGCCAAAACACTCAACCAATAGAATGGTCTGTAGTGTCCAGAGTTCCGGGCGAGGAGAGAAGCCCGCATGGGCGAAGATGCTTGGTCGCATGACATCGTGAATACGGACAGCCAACTGATGAGCATCCTTGTTCGAATATGTTGCCCCAAGTAATAGGATTGATAGTAGATGGAGAGGTTCTGCGGTATTGGCGTCAAAAGTGGGCAAATGGATCAATGGGTATGCGGTGTTGAATCGAGTAAAGTAAAGGTCAAGATAATTCTGGAGGGATTGGACGGATAGGAGTGGCTCATTCGAAAGAGGATGATGGGATTCTGGAAGGCAAGGGTTGGTTGCTTCGATGATCTGCAAGAGCCGCTTTCGAACTGTTTCGTTAATCTGTGGCAGGACTGGTCTCCTTGACAGGAGAGAGAATGGCCTGTCAATGTCGTTGGGAGTCGGCTGGTCTCCACCATCAACAGGGCCGACCAACGCTGTGCTAGTTCTCCTTCCTCTGCGAACTGGTTTCTTCGCTGTCTTCGGGACAAGTTCTGAGGATGTCGAGTGGGTGGACTGGTTGGACGGGGGCAAGGGGAGTTGCTGCATGTTGTCGAGGTCTTCGGAAACCGGTTGTGAGTCTCGTCGTTCGGGCCAAAGCTGAGAGCTGTCCATGGACGCGGGTGATATGGTGAAAAGAGCTTCTTGGAAGCTGGGTGCTTGTTCGAGTTGAGAGGTCTTGTCAGGGAGGTTGATGAGCGATGTTTGGGTTCCTTTCATGTCAAATAGCCAGTTGTAGTCTAAAGCCGTGGTGTACGGCATGTTAAACGAGCTGGCTGTGTCTGGCTGAAAGATTTGGTCGTAATCCAGTTGTGCGACATCGAGCATAGCTCCAGAGAGTAAGCTTGGGTCAAGGTTGGGATCTATAGTATCATCCCAAGACTCGCTTAGCTGGCCGTTGTGGTCGCCTTGCTCGGCCAGTGTGGATGCTTGGAAGCTATAGTCGAGCTGTGACACAGATTGGAGACCCAGAGGCTCACAATTCTGTACCTCCAAACCAAGATCCCCAGGTTGTGGCCAGTCTGAGTGTTCTCCGTTGTCTCCTGGGTGGTCACTGTCCTGAGCCCAGTACTCTATCGCTGATTGTTGTTGATCTTGTTGCTCCCCACTTGATTCTGGAGGCTCAGACTCGGGTGATGGGATTTGTTGTGCTTCAGAGCGAAAGCAGGGTCTCTTTTCGACAACGGAACCGTCAGGGGCTTTCCATGAACGCTTGCGAGTATCGAGAACTCCGCAACCAGGACCGCCAGCTTCAAGATCCTTTTGGACGTGACGGTCCATATGACGCTCTAAAGTCATGATGAGCCATTCCGCGGCAAGGAACATTGGGTGTCGCTTGTGAGCCCTTGAGCTCTACTACTTACTCAACAGATCGGGACGCTTGAAGTGAGCACGACACTTGGGACATGCAGAACCGCCAGGCAGGTGATTCAGAGCATGCCTCTGTAAGTGCTCAGCGCGTGTAAAGCGCTTGGTGCAACCAGGGTGCTCACACACAAAGGACTTGTCGTTGGAGGGCTGTCGACCCCTAGTAGGGATCTCAGGGCCGCTGGGGCCTGCACTTTCAGAAGCCATCCTGCCACCACCAAGGTTGTCTTCAGCACAAGTCAATGCACCATCCATGCTGCGCATTGGCTGTAGAGTGGGTTCAAAATGGAGAGTAAAAGCATACACAGCACAAGAGAATGGGAACAAAAGTGGGAGAGGGCACTCCTAATCTGCGATTTTGCCAGTTCGGGAGGAGCACGGAGGGTTATCGGTGGTGGGTGCCGATGTGGGGCTCAAGGCGGGGGAAAGCGGGGTAAAAACGGGGCGGGTTGATCCCGAAGCAGGCCGGGAATCCGGAAATGGTGTCCCGCAGCCAATGGGGAAGGAGGGACGTATCTTTGGCTGCGAGGCGTTATCTGCGTGTACTTTGTACCCCCTACGCTGCCATGGCATGACTGTGCCAAGGTCATTTCCAATCAGGTCTCTTCTGCTATCTAAACTCGGCCATCTTTGCCTCCCCCACTCTTGGTCTCGCTCGCTACGAGCAGGGTGGGAGTAAGGTTCGGGCTTCGGGCGCTCGGCCAAAGCGCTGCATGACCATGCCGTGGTTCAAGGCTAGTAACCATGACATTCGGAGCCAGAGGCATTGGTTGGGTTATCCAGTCCTTCGAGACTCTCTGACTCGTTATTATGAAGGATATATCTTTGGTGACAGTAAACCACAGTGTCGACTTTGATGAGCATTGAGTTGAGCATCGACAAACAGAGCAACACACAACACAATGCCTCACTATACTGTTCAAGAAATTATGCAGCGCGATGCTTCAAGCAAGCTACACGTAGGTTTAGACCTCTTTCGCAAAGCCGACAACTCCTTGCTCAGTGTCACTAATAGCACTCTAGGTTGTCATAGTCGGTGCAGGCCTTGGTGGACTTGGAGCAGCTATCGCTGTTCGCCTGGCTGGTCATGATGTTACAGTATTGGAATCTGCCCCGTCGATCGGCGAAGTCGGTGCTGGCATCCAGGTTCTTCCCAATGCCAGTCGGGTTCTTTTCTCATGGGGACTTGAGGATCGTCTCGTCAAGTTTGCAACCCAACCAAGCAAGTGTAACTTCATCGGATGGAAAGGAAACCATCTCTCTGAGATGGACTACCATGGCTATGCGGCAGCCACTGGTAACTACCCATTCCTGGACTTTCATCGAGCTACTCTACACGGCTGTCTTCTGGACCGTTCCAAGGAGTTGGGAGTTGAGATCCTCACCGGCGCCTCGGTTGAGAAGTACACCATTGCCGACGACGACACAACAGCGACTGCCTACCTCGCAGACGGTCGCACAATAGTATCTGACCTTATTGTTGGGGCCGATGGCATCAACTCAAAGCTGCGAGAACAGTTCCTCGGCAAGGAAGACCCACCTCAGCTCACGGGTGATCTGGCATATCGACTTCTTCTTTCGACTGCGGAGATGCTCAAAGACCCAGACCTACGACCTTTCGTGGAAAACCCCCAGGTCAACTACTGGGTTGGTCCCGACAAGCACGCAGTCAACTATGTCTTGAAGGGCGGCGAGCTGTTCAACATGGTCTTGCTTGTCCCAGATGACATTCCACTCGAGCAAGGAAACACGCTACATGGGACTATGGATGAGATGCGAGCGCACTTTGCTGATTGGGATCCTCGCATTGGCAAGATGCTTTCTCTTTGTGATTCTGTTGGTTCCATCCTCAAGTGGCGTCTATGCATCCGTCCCGGCCTTGACCCGACTTGGTCTGATCCTTCTGGAGCATTCACCATGCTTGGTGACGCCGTTCATGCGACGCTTCCATACTTGGCTAGTGGAGCAGGAATGGCACTCGAGGATGGCGGAGTTCTGGGACTGTGCCTCGCCAAGCTCACAGACAAGTCACCAGAGTCCAAGAGAAAGGCCCTTGACGTGTACGAGGCCTGTCGACGGGAGCGAACAGAGAAGGTGGTCCAGCGAGGCACATACAACCAGTGGATCTATCATCTAGCTGATGGACCAGAGCAGAAGGAGCGTGATGAGCGCTTCAAGCACTTTGGAGACTTTGACCACGCCTGGCTGAGTGGAGAGGATCCCGTGCTGCCAAAGTCAGAGGAGACAGGCGAGGACCCCTTCCCCTGGAGATACAATGGTGTTGGAAGGTGGCTTCTGACATACGACATGTGGAAAGATGTCGACGCCAAGTTTTCCAAAGTGGAAGGTTCATCTTTAGGGGTAGACACTGTTCGAGCTAGTCTATAGGTCACATAAATAGAATCCTTCACAAACACCCGATCTGGGCCCAATTACAGTATGATGAATGGTGAATAATCACCGAGTCCATGGTGCCCTTTTCTGCCTGCTTGCTTACAATAGTGCACATGATGCTTGTAGAATTGTACAGTGGTATCGATGCCTATCCAGTTAGGCATCTCACACAACAAGGTGTGTCGGACAAGCCGAGGTGATAACAGTGCCACGATGTGAGACTATCATGAAGTGCAAGTCCTCCAATCAGTGTTATCGGCCGCTTTATAGTCCATTTCGTTTCGAGTCCTATCAGTTTGACGGAAACCAGCACGAGTCAATCCAACAGAGGTGTCGCCATATATCAATGCAATATAACGTCCCAGGGACTCCAACACTCGTGCAATCACTTGCTACTACTTGGATACTTGAAAAATGCATGCATAGTTCTTGATATTCGATAATGAGGTCAATTCACTGCCTCTATGCCTCTATGGTTTCGTTTGCTCCTTCGTCAATGAACAAGTTCCCAGCACTATGCCTTGACCTGAGCCTCGGGGGTCTCGTGAAAAAAAGGGTAGTCGTTGTATCCCTTCTCGGGGGGGTCAGCTCCGTAAAAGGTGGATCGGTCATAAGGGTTGAGAGGCCATCCGTTTCGGAGTCGCTCAACCAAGTCAGGGTTGGCGATATAGTGTCTTCCCATAGCCACAATGTCGGCTTCCTTCCCCTTGAGCTTCGGGACTGCGTTATCCCGGTTGAAGTTTCCGCAAGCCAAGAACAGAATTCCTGCAGGCTGCAGAATCTCACTGAAGATGTTCAGCGAGTTAACTCGCTTACTCTTCTCTTCCGCTTCCGTCGTGGAGCCATTGGCGAGTGAAGCAAGCTTCTGCTCCTCGTTGAGCACCTCATCGAAGCGAGGCTCGATCCTATAGAACTTTGTTTTAGACATGTTTCTCGAACATTATACATCTGATGCTTACATATGAACGTAGGCGGGTCGCTGGGCCTTAGGCAGATCCGCGATACGCTTGCAAAGGTAGGACCAATGCTCGTTGGGGTTGCTATCTCTTGTGTCCTGGAAGTAGTTGTATGGTGATAGACGAATGCCGACCTTCTCGTCACCGATAGCGTCACAGACAGCAGTCAACACCTCTATGACAAAGCGGCACCGGTTCTCAACAGAACCACCATACTCATCAGTGCGCTGGTTGATGTTGTCATGCAGGAACTGTTCCAATAGATAACCATTGGCACCTGCACCATGTGTTAGGAAAGGATAATTCAGGATTTCTGTAGACGTACCGTGAATCTCGACACCATCAAAGCCGGCAACATCAACTGCCCTCTTGGCAGCGGCAGCCCACTCAGCAGTCATCTCGTGGATCTCATCCACTGTCATGCCCCGTGGGGGATCATCCTTGCACTCAGTGCCATCAAGATACTTGCCATTCATGGGAATTTCGCCAGAAGAGATCGGCCTCTCGCCTCGCATTCCACTTGAGGAGGCTCTGCCAGTGTGCCAAAGCTGGGTAAAGATGAACCCACCCTTGGCATGGACGGCGTCAGTCACCTTGCGCCATCCCTTGAGCTGCGACTCGGTAAAGACGCCTGGGACGCCGCCATAGCCACTGGCTCTGAGGCAGATGTCAGTTGCCTCAGTGATTTGCAGGCCACCATCAGTGGCACGATCGCCGTAGTACTTGACGACTCGGGGACCAGGGACGTGGACGCCGGGGGACTCGGCATCACATCGCATGCGGGTGTTGGGGGCCTATACGACCCCTGTAAGTGGCTGCTCCCGTGGCACGGGTCGGTGGGTGAACACGATGAGAACGTACCTGGATGATGCGATGTTTCAGGCTCAAATGTCCCAACTTGAGGGGCGCGAACAGCACGCTATCCTTGAGGGCGACATGTGTCTGAGGGGGGGTGATGGCAACGGGCATTGTGAAGAGATATCGAGGAACTAGTGATGTATTGATGCCCTGGAAGATGAGAAAGAAGTAACACTTTTATCAGAGCTTGTCAAGAGTCGCTTCAGCCAACGATAGAAATACTAGTTGTTGAGGAAGATGAGACATCTTTGCTCCCAGGACATTGTCTTGCGGCGCTACACGTATCCCACTGTCTGTGCTAACTCTCAGCAACAGTGGATTTCACCGCCGTTGATCTTGGATCTTCCCGCCCCTTCCTCCCACTCTCGATGACCCTGGAAGTGGAGGCCGAGGAGGCGTCGGGTCAAGATTGCAGGAGAAATCAAGAGTGGGGGAAGGGGTATTGGATACGAGATGAGATAAGCAAGGGAGTCTAACTTGAAACTAGGCTAAAAACGGAGCGTTTGACGTAGTGCTCTAGGGTGGCATTGTGTGCTCTGATCCGGAGATGTGGACAAACCTCACTCAAGTCTCAATGGTGATGTGTTACAAAGCATGGAGGCGTTGATTTGTAGATATTATTATCCTATGATCAGGTACAGCCGATAGGTTTAGAGAGATTCACTGAAGACTATTATTGAACCATGGTTCACTGACAATGGCGTGAGAAAGGAAATGTCTTACAAGCTAGCCAAGGATGGACGACTGCGTCGATGATGTTTCAGGCATCTGAAAGCAGTGGCATCGGGAAATTTAGACTAAAGCGGTAAAAATGCATCGCAAGGTAATTTTAAAAGATCTCCGTGGACCAAGATTTATTCCACTATACGTTGCTACAGAAGAGTCCTCTCATCCCAGCACCCCGGCAGTCCAAGCACTCTTTGAACATCATGATCTTGCTTAAATGGAAGCATGGCCATGAGTCTCATATGGAAGCGCAATGCAGAAGAATCCGACCGCAATCCAAAGAGCTGCGCTGGCGTAGATGGGAACGACAGTGTAACCGCCATAGGTCGAAACGAACGAGGCCGCAAGACCACCCAGACGAAGCAATGTAGCGGCAATACCGGTTCCAGTGCCTCGTACAGGTCCCGGAAAGGACTCGGGAGTAAACGCAAACATGATGGCGTATTCTATCAAGCATGTTAGAGACGGCCATAAGATGGCGGTGATGGAACAACTTACCAAAGTTTCCCAGAATAGCAGTGGCACATTGGAAGCCGATATCAGCAGCCTGGGTAACAACAGAGGTGTAGGCAAACAGGAAAGCGCCTGTAAGAACGGAAGAGATGGCCATCATCCATCGACGACCAAATCGAGTCTCAACAAGGAATCCAGCAGCGATCGGACCAATAATGCCGACAGACGACACGATGCAGTAGACCATGTACGTGTAGTTGAATGAGGTATTGGCAGAGTAACTGGCCTTTGTCTCCAGGTACGATGGAATGAATGCAAAGTACAATGGGTAAGCCACACCGATCGTAAGCCAGATGAGGAACGTGACGGCGCTGTGCTGTGCCATCTTGCGCCCAGCAAAGAGAGTACGGTAGCTGTCCAGGCTAAAGTCCTTGAAGTTCTCCCTCATGATCTCCATAAAGGACAGCTTTGCTGGTGCGGTAGGAGTAGCAGCTGCAGCAACCATTTCGTCGATTGTCTGCGTGACCTGAGGGGCATTCGAGGTGCCTTGGATCCGGTTGTCAATCTCTTGCAAAAGATCAAGAGTCAGAGTCTCGGGCTTGCGGTTGAATCGGGCAATGTGGTTGACCGCAGCGACAGCCTCTGCGTCTCTTCCCCGGGAAAGAAGATATTTAGGAGACTCGGGGATCTTGAAGATGAAGATACGGATAAGACCAAGGAAAATGGCAATGCCGCCCAGAGTGATCATGAGATATCGCCTGTTCAAGATACCATATTAGCACACAGTAGAGCTCAGGAGCTGGGTTTACTTACCATCCCATGTTGTCTTGTCTCGTGCAGTTGGTGGCATCATCACAAGCAAAGTTGGCAAGGAAAACCCAGGCCAAAAGAGAAACAATGACCTGACCAAGGTTCCACCAGGCAGAGAGTGTCACGAGAAGCCATTGATGGCTCTGAGGGACGAATTCCAAGAAGACAATGCTGTCGACAGGGACATTGCCACCGGCGGCAGTACCGACGACGGCCCAGAGAGCGCAAAAGGCAGTGAAGTTTTGGGCACCGGCGCTGGCACAAGCAAAGATGCCTCCATATAGAATAGTCGAGTTGAAGGCAGGCTTACGGCCGATGACATCAGCTGCCGTGCCCCAGAAGAAAGCGCCAATGATCAAGCCAACGTAGTAAGCGACAGAGCTGAAGCTCAGGCGGCTGATGTCTGTGAACTCGTTGCCGACTGGGGGTCGAATGGCTGTGATGCCCTGAGACCAGAAGTTGTCGATCATCCAGCCGCAACCGTTGACGATGAAGAGGTACCATTGGAACCTGTTGAACATGAGTAAGCTTTGCATCAAGAGAATCTGTGTGCCAAGGATTAAGTGTACCTTCCAGTGCCAATTGCACTGAGATGCTCCGCGATGAGCTCTGACTTGAGACGGTAAGACTCATTGACTGCACTTCCGTAGAACTCACGGACGGCGCTGTCTTCGACGGCATGAGTCTCGCCCGGGCGGACGGAGCTGGCGGTAGAGCTGTGCTCAAGCTTCGTCCCCGAGATGTCTTTGGGAGTGGATGCAGGGGCAATGGCAGACATGATGAGGAATGCTGAGGAGGTATGGGTAAGACAGAGAAGGTTGAGAGGGGTGGTAGTCAGCTCAACTTGAAGGATTCAGGGCACTCCTTCATATATGACTGACTCGGTCTGGCTGTGATCAGTGCTGAGGCCTTGCTATCTTCTCTCAACAAGGGACCGTAGCTACGTATAGCTGCAAGTCTGGCCCTGGCTGAAGACGTAAGGTTCACATCCATGGGCCCCTATCCCGGACAGCCTCTAGCGGTGTCGTTTATCACAGCCGGGGCCTTGGGAGCTGACTGATAGCATGACAAGGGTAGAATGGAACAAACTCGAGGCAGTATCTTATCGTCCGGCTACTCCTAGCCTTGTATCTTATCGGAATGCCTCGATATCATTCGCCTTCACGAGTAATCTCACCCCACCCCCACTTTCAACAAAGCATGGTGCTGTGGTTATCTGCGCAGCAAAATCCGGGGAAGCCCAGGCTAGGATACCGGCCCTGCTACGCCACTTTGCGGGGGAAGACACCTTCTACCATGCAAGAAGCATGCTAGCAACACGATTTCTGATTCCATGGATGCGGATAGGCTGCAGCAGGGGTAGGACACTTGCCGAGAGCCCCGGTGAGTGCGGCCTAGATGCAGTCCGGCCAATGCAGTAATGAGACCGCAGCTGACGGGAAGCATGGTCCATTTGGCCGATATCAGGACTTGGGCCCAGACCGCCAAAGCCAGCTAAGGTTCTATATGGGAGCGATGATGTAGTACCGTATGACTCGAGCTCCGTGATGGTCCGAAATGAGGTCAGAGCCAGATCAATCTTTAAGGCGATGGCGCCACGTTCTAGGATCAAGTAGGTAGATGGATGATGATATCAGTCGGCCAGATCACAACCGGACCAACATTGCTATCTCAAGAATGGGACTCCACGGGACGAACTTGAGGACATCGAAAGAATGTGAAGCTAGGGACATGCATGAACTGGCTCGGTAGGGGAACGCGCCGCTGTGCTGTACTCGGTATCAGATCTATTCTTATCACTCCACTGAGGTGGCAAATCTAGACATTGTGACTCGTTTACAGGCTTTGGAGGACCTGAAGGAACCCCTGAAAGTACGAATCCAGCCATTGTACTGCAGCCTTCCCGTCCTCGCCTCCTGCGCCCTTGAAACGACGAAGAGTACCGACATATCCATCAGGCCTGACCACAATGACAGCCACTTCACCTTGGCTAACAGGCCCTAGCCATTTTTCTGTGCATGAGACTCCTCGCCTATCGAGGTATGACACATCGTCAAGATACACTGTCCACTTGCTCTTGGAAAAGGTCTCAGGAAGCTCGGCAATCTCAAACTCGTTCTTGTTGCTAGATGCTATGGCGGAAAAGTGGTTAGCAACAGCCTGATGACATTTTCTTGAGCACATTACTTACTGATAAGGCCGTATGTAAAGAGTTGGCTGACGGTGGTATACCGTTCTGGTCTTAGATAGGCATCGTCGGCACGCTTAGCACGAGGCTTGGTCTTGTATGATGCTTCACCTGCCTTGGAAAGCTGAGACAAGAATGATGAAGGGGCTGATGCAGCTTGACCGAAGCTTTCAAGGAAGCTTCTCTCACCACTTCCCGTGATGTTAGGAACAACAAAGTACAAGCGGAACTGGCCCAGGATAGGAATGTCGAGCTGAATGTCGACGGGACAGGCATCGATGTATCTTGTGACTTTGGCGGGTGGGAGGTTGCATCCGGGCTTCGCGTTACCACCATACGCCTCTTCAAGCCCTTGGTTGAGCTCGTTTGAGCCATACTCGACCCCTATTCCGGAGATGAACCTGGTGTTCTTGCGAAAGTTCTCTGCTAGGCGCTTTGCATCGCCACCAGCAATCTCATTGGCATGCTCAAAGTCAAAGTTGATGAGATCGTGGGCAATCTTCTTTCTCTCCTGCTCGTAGCTCTGGAGGAGGATTTTATTCTTGGCGAAGCCTCGCGCAGCCAGGTTGAGCTTCCATCCCAGGTTCCACGAGTCGTGTACGCTGGTGTTCATGCCCTGAGCAGCCTTGGGGCTATGAGTATGACTTGCGTCTCCCGCGATAAAGGCCCGAGCTGTTGGGTCAAGGAACTTCGAGGCTACGCGTTGAGAGACCGCGTAGTTCCCGAACCACTCAACCGAGACCCATTCAACTCGATAGGGAGCCATGACACGTCTTGCTTGCTCCATCACGTAGTCCTGAGCAAGGCCCTTGGAAGTGATGGAAGACTTCATCTCGATATAAAGACGAGTCATGTTGCGCTCTCGTGGAATGATCAAAACTGAGCCATGCTCTTCAGAGAACACAACCGTCTTGCTCCAGATATCTGGGAAGTCTGTATCAAGCTCGCCATCAAGAACACCCCATACAGAGTTGTGAGGGCTTCCTTGTCCATTGGCGTCGGGGATACAGTTGCGAACCTGCGAACGCGCACCATCAGAGCCAACGAGATATCGTGCTTGGATAGTCGTTTTCTCGTTAGGAAGGTCGCAGTTGATGAGAAGGGAGCTTGATGGATCCTCAGACTGTGATGTGAAGCCAGTGAACGTGTGGCTGCGGCTGACTTCAACACCACTCTTCCGAAGGTCGTCAATGAATGTGCTCTCCATCATTCCTTGATGGCACAGCAAGATGTATGGCTCCAGAACATCAACAACAGAGGCTGGGTAGTGAACCTCTCGTCCTGTGCGGCGGATACCCTCCTTCTGTGATCCTCGCCAGAGACAAATGTCGTGTACTCTAACTCCAGTCTTCATGAGTTCATCACCGATGCGTAGCATCTGGAATGTCTCAATCGTCTTGGGTTGGATGCCATCAGCCCTGCCGACCGTGGTCTGGTCAGGCCTCTCATCAGCCACCTTGACTGTCAGACCCAACTTTGCAGCGATGACACTATTCAGGGGTCAGCCAAGTGTAACAGGGGTTGGAGACCGGGATACATACCTCAGCATGAGGCCGGCAGGGCCAGCGCCCACGACGCACAAATCGTAGGGTCCATGCTCCCCAGAAGCGGGGGTGCCTCCATTTGTGTGGCCGTTGGTAGTCGAGAGACTCGTCATGTTGAGAAGTGTTGCCAGTGTAAAGGTTGACGAGGTAAAATGTCAAAGCTGCCGTACTGAAGTCGGCTTCCAGAAGTTTGTGTCAGTATCTGGATTAAAAGAGAGAGTATAAACTTTTCCTGATAATTGGAAGCATTCGTCCACAAAGCTCAAAGCAGCTATCACGACAGGTACATGTACCTTTCTGTTGGAGCTCGGCAGTAAGCTCGACGGGGTGAAGCCCGAGGACGACGAACCTCACAACTGCCCTCGTTCCACGGTCAGCCCATTTGCAGTGGAGTAATAGCTCAAGAGTGCGGGTAACCACGAAACAGATTATGATTGACAACCCCATTCATCCATGGGTTCAACGTGAATCTGTCCAAGCCGGGCTTCGGCTTGTCTCCCCCACTCTTGAATGCCGGGGTTCCAACCGAGTCAAGGATGACGCCTCAAGGAGCCACTAGCCTTATCAATAAGCTCTAGACTCGCGCTAGGCCGGGGGACTCCGGTTAGATGTGGAGAAGTCTGAGTCGGTGCCAAATGCCAGCCAATTGGAATGAAGAGTTCTGATGCCATTGATCAACGGGTGATGTTCACGAAGGTTGCCGAGCTTCGTCCACCATGGAGCTGCTCTCGTTTTCCTCTTGGAAGTTTGCTGAATGACAGTACTCTACGAGGTGGCTTATGAAGATAATCGTTGTAGATTCGAAGAACACCTAAGGTCACCCCATCGTGTAGATTGGGACTGTTTTTAACAGCGTATCTTAGTCCCTACGAATCCATTGATTCCCTGCTCGACAAAGCAAGTGCTCTGGTGTAGGGTAGGGAGATTTAACCGCGAACGGTTGAGCATGGAATTGAGGTGTGGGCTTCTAGGAGCAGCACGAGCACGCAAGACAGTTGAACGGTAACAATCTTGTCTTTTAGGAACTGTATCATAGCATTGGGGTATTGTTGCTAAGTTGAATGTGAATGACACCACCTCTACAATGAGCCAACGGCCAAAGCAGCAATGAATATAGTTATAAAAGACGACATGACCCCATGATGTGGCTGATCACTGAGGGGAACTTCAACGTTGGAATGAAAGCATGGTTAACTTCAAAGAAATGGCATTGCTATCTATTCTCTAGCTCTGTGTCTTCTTCCACTCATGGTATCTCTTCATCGCCTCCTCCTTGCTTGCAGGCATCAGACCGCCCTGAGGCGCCGCGTTCTTACTCTTGAAGTAATCGGCCATCTTGTTCTTGTTAGTATCGACCCTGAGTGGAGGCATGGGGGACGTACCTCAGCCATAGTTACCCACTCCACGCCTTCGTGCTTGTTGATGTGCTCAATAATACGCTCATGCATCAGGAGGACGTGGGGTCTTCCCGAAACATCGGGATGGATGGTCATTGGAAAGATGAACTCATCTAGGTGGATTAATATTAGTAGGGGAGGGTGCGTTTGAGGTGAACTTGAAGACGAGACATACCATACTCTCTGTAGAAGTAGTCGAAATGGTCTCTCCAGATGTCCTCGACGTCCCTGCTTCTCATTAGCACCAGTGCCACGTAATGGCCTGCCTGTCTGGCAGCCACAAACATACCGAGGATTAACCCATCCATGTGAGTTGGCAGAGTTCTTGATGAACATCATTGGAGGGAGATCATCGATATACCATGATCCAGGAATCTCAACCAATCCAGTTTCCTTTCCCTTGACCAGTGGCTTCATCCAATCCTCTGCGTTCTTTGTGTAGTCGATCTTTGTCCAGGTATCCCCGGTCCTCAGCCAATAAGGTTGGCAATCGTGATGGAGCATAGAATGATCATACTCGATGCCGTAGCTGAGGAGCAACTCAGTTCCTTCGGCACTAGTCTCCCACCATGGAGCAACACTTCCTCGAGGTGGCTTACCTCCACAGAAGTCCGTGATCAGCTTCCACGTCTTGTCAAGAACGTCTCTCTGCTGCTCAAAAGTCATGTCTGCAGGATTCTCGTGTGTATACCCATGAAGCTGTGGATGTTAGCGTTACTCTATAGCCTGAGCGGTACAAAACGTACGCCAATCTCGTGTCCGGCATCCCGAACGAGAGCGCACTCCTCAGGGAAGGACTCTAATGTGTGACCAGGGATAAACCAAGAAGCTTTGATGTTGTACTTGTCAAAGAGCTTCAAGAGACGACGGGTTCCAATAGTGCCCGCCCAAATGCCTGCAGCATCATGTCAGTCATTGAGATCGCATCTGTCGAAGTCAGTTTGACCCACCTCTGCTCACGTCACTGGTGCTATCTTCGCCACCATATGAACCAAGCCATCCAGCAACAGCATCAATATCCACACCATAACTGTTGGGGTGGTCGGTTAGTTGACAGTTGCGCCCTAGGAGTGGAGTTGGACCGGGGTATCACTCACCAAACCATAACCTTCTTCTTGCCCATCTTGAATGACGCGAGTGCAAATGAATTCGTAAGCAATAAAGAGTTCTGAAAGGTTTCTAAAGAGATCCGAGCGTCTAAAATCAGCTGATGGTAGATATCCTTGGAGAGAACTGAATGCCACTGGCTTGACTTGAAGTATCAGGTTGCCTGTCTCGGGACCCCTGATATGCTTCTGGGTTCAAGGTAGAGTAGCTCGTAAACTCTATCTCCTCTCAAACCCCGCTATGGGTTCCGATTAGATATGCCTGTTGTGTTCACATGCAGGGCTCAAGAGTGGGAGAGTGGGCTGTTGTGATTCTCCCACTCTTGGCGGAGATAACTCCACCAACGCTTGGACGAGCGATATGCATGCCTTGAACGACTCGACAGCGGTAAGACAAGCATGAATGGAGATAGTGGCGGGTACTTTTGACGATAATCTCTTTATCGTATGAGAATGAGTGCAACTACAAATCGTACCAAAACATCCCGACCATCTGCAGCACCCTTGGCATTTGGCACTTACCTTGTTGTTACTTGTTAGTCCTAAAGACGCTAAAACCGGTTCGATCAAGCCCGTCAACACCATGAACATGTCCAAGGTTAGTCATCCATGCCATCCAAAGTATCGGCTGACATCAGGCGATAGTTCTCACTTAGTGGCCGCGTGGCCATCGTCACTGGTGGCGCCAGGGGCTGCGGGATGGCCTTTGCTGAAGGCCTGGCAGAGTCCGGGGCAGATGTTGCAGTCTTCGATGTGATCAGCCCAGCTGGCAACGAGTTGGAAGAGTTGGCCTCTAAGCATGGGGTCAAGACTCGATCTTACATCGTTGATGTTACCTCTCTTTCGAGCTTGAAGGAGGGGTTTGCCTCGGTGGCGAAAGACTTTGACGGAAAGTTGGACATTCTAGTTGCCTGTGCCGGCGTGAACAAGAATGTCCACTTCCTTGACACAGAGGAAGAAGACTTTGAACGTCTCTTTAATGTTAACTGCAAGGGTGTTTACTTTACTGCGAAGCTCGCAGCCAAGGCCATGATCGCCAATGGAACCAAGCATGGAAGCATCGTTCTGGTGGCGAGCATTGCGTCTCACATGGCTATCAGATCTCAGAGATCAACAGCCTACTGTGGCACAAAGGGCGCCGTGAGAGCCATGGTGGCGCCGATCGCTGCAGAGCTGAACGAGTACGGAATCCGTGTCAACTCGGTTAGTCCCGGTTATGTCAGGACAGCCATGACAGCGCCGTTCCCGGACCTTCTTGAGGGTTGGAAGGATGAGATCATGAACCATCGGGTTGCAGAGCCCGATGATATCAAGGGAGCTTGTGTCTTTTTGGCTGGCGATGCTAGCAAGTAAGTCTCCAAAGACGTAATCTCGACAATTGCTTCATTTACTAACTCACACATAGATACTGCACTGGCACTGATATTCTGGTGGACGGAGGAGTAACCAAATGGTAGTGGTAGAAGGATAGACCCCTTTCACAAATAACCCATTGCGTTGTGCGCATCCCTAGAGCCTTTAGCAAGCTTATAATTGATTGACATGATGTTGAACTCACCTATGCGTTCTGTCTGCTTCACTCTGATTCTGTAAAGGACAGGGAGATCCTTGCTGATCTTGATCTTCTGGCTCGATCTTCGGGCTCAGTTAACCCATCAAGAGCCGGGCTGCGACTATAGTAAAGAACACATTATCAACACATCATAGCATCATGACCCGATGCTATCACAGTGGTTGCTGATCTCAGTGGTGCCCCAAACGAAACAAAGGACACACGAGACGAAATCAAAGAGCGTAGCAGCCAGCCACTATAGATATGGAGAGGCGATTAAGACCATATGTATCGAGGGACAGCATAGGAAAAGCATTTACATATAGTAACTTGGGTAGTGCGATTGGTCATCTGCTACTGTATCTAGGAGGGGTAAGGAACAAGAGGATTATTTCCAGGGAAGCTGTTGTTTGTCCTTCGTCAGGGGTATCTCCATGGCTCTCCTAGCCTTAGACAAAGTACCTCCATTTGGGGTCATTTTCGCCATCCCTCAGCTCATTCGTATCCACATCCTCGGCTCTGAGAATAACGGCCTGCTCCTGGTTCTTCTTGTTATTCTGCTTTCGCATCCACAACCCGAGTCCCAGGGTAAAAAAGATACAGGTGACATTACAAGCAGCCGTGGCGATCAGGGTAGGAGCATAGCGAGGTGCGTAGGTTGTCCTGAAGGTTCCGGCGGAGAGGATGCCTCCAATGTTTCCAAGGCCAACAAGAAGCCCAGTTGTCGCAGCTCGAGAGTTCTCACTCATATTGTTGTTGTTATGCCAACTGTGGACGAGACAACTGGGGATATAGGCTCCGCTAGCCAGCATAAAGCATGCAAAGTAAGCAACGCCGACATGGGCTTGGGCATCGATGATGGCCAGCACAAGGAGCCCTGCCAAGCTCAGGACGAGACTACCAATGATGTGGAAGGTTCTCTCTCTGTTCCTGTCTGAGCTATAGGTCACAGCTAGAAGAACGATGAAGCCGGCGACGTTGGGTGGCACAGTCAGAAGGTTGGTGACAACGACTGAGTAACCAAGCCGACGAAGAACGAGAGGGAGGAAGTTGGCAGT